TGTATCCTGACTCGCTGCCAGCGCTGCAGATTTGTCACGTGCGCTGCTTTTCTTTCATGGCTGTAGTTTGTTGAGTCAGATGTGACTTCAGCAGCAGCTGAACAGGCTCAGCGTGAGTTCTTCATTAGTTTAGTCTTAAGCTCACACACAACATGTTTTGTAAGCATGTGCTCCTCGCTGGAAACAGACAAAGACTCGAATCAGAGTTTCAGCAGCTGATTGGATGAAGCAGCTGGATATGTGTGACCAGTCAGATGGTGTCTGTCACCAAAGCTGGTCACACAGTGAGAAGATGAAACGCCATCAGTGCTGTTCTGGAAGCCTCGACCCTCTCACGGTGGGATCATAACATACATGACTAGCGCCACGCTGGGTTACATGAACCGGTGGTTTCCCAACCGTGCCGAAGCCGACTGGAGAGCACGGGACAAGTCCAGGTGTGCCTTGGAATGAAAACGATACAGTCATCTGCTCTTCAAAGGAGTGCTGGTCCTGCACCAGAGACTCCGAGATCCTTAACTGAGTGAAAGTGTCCGAGATGACGTTAGAACAATTACAGTCGTGCAAAGCACAGATGCTGTAAATGGGCCGTGTGCGAAGAGAAAGCGATGGCACGCCAGGTGACGCAGGCTTACAGTAACGAGTCCTTGGTTTTCCTGAAATAACCGTCCTGTCCGGCAGTCCTGAGCCATCATTGCTTTCTATGTAGCTTCAAAATCGGTGCAGTGATTTATTGAAACATTGACAACATCCTTCTGACGAGCTTCAGCCTCAGGATTTGTTTAGACACCTGAAAACGAGTAAAACCACAGAAGAAGAAACGACCTTTGGAGACCTACTGCTCAGAGCCTTTAAACCTGCCGTGACCTGCCCTCTGTCCTTCCTGGGCAGTTTGAAACCCACTAATGGGAACTCTTGGCCTTTTGACCTTTTGACCTTTTGACCTCGGGTTTTCTGATTGGTGGACTAAAAATCTCAAATGTGTAGAACATGTTAGGAAGAAGGAGAACCGGAGGACACGGATTTAGTTTGTCTATAAATGTATCTGCAGCTGTAAACGATGATCCTGAGATCACAGTCGGGTCGGAGCAGCCAATCAAACGGTACAGCGTCGCTATGACTACACCCGCTGTAACAGTCGCAGTTGTGTGGTGTCTCTTTAAGACGCTAACTTAAAGTTGAACTTAAAGTAACCAGTTGTGTGAACGCTGCTCGCTTCACGTGTGATGAGACAGCAGCCGTTCAACGCGGCGCTCCTCCACCTGTCAGTGACGTGGTTCACCGCCCCAGGTGGAGGCGCGCGTCAGAGCGTTGCTCGTGAACAGCTGTAGCTGAAACACAGCTGTGGCCTGAAGCTAAACACGGCGGGCGGATTCTCCCAGATCAGAGATTAAAACTGTAAACGGCAGCGAGGCTTTGGCCCGTAGTTACACAACATCCTCGTGTTTGAAGCGCTTTTATTCAGCAACAAAGAAAACTGCTGACGTGTGCGTGTTTGCACCAGGCTCTGTTTAACGCTGCAGACCTGCCTGCAACACCCAAAGACCACAGAGTCTGACACACACAGAGTGGAGCAGTACCACAGTGAGCTATCGGATGCTGGAGATGACGGATGACCCACTTGGAACGGCACCAAACGTCTGCGGCAGTCAGGAGATTAGAAGCCTGAACAAGTCCTGACTGCACCGCGTCGGCTGCTCGCTCTCAGCTCAGGCGCGTTAATCGTTTGTCACGTGACGCTTTAATGGCAGCCGTCGCAGCGGTGAGGCCAGAGGCTCCGGTGAGCGTTTGCCTGAGTGTGACCTGAGGCTTCGGGAATGTGGAGCGTTGGTGTCGGCACATCAAACGCCGTCGTCACGCAGAGCCCTGTGTGGGCTGCGGGGTCAGGGTGGCGTGCGCTCGCGTCACAAACTTCAGGCTTTAACGTCACTGACCTTAAAATCTGGGAGTTGGAAAAGTTGCTTATTGGAACAAAGCAGCACAGAGCTGTGCAGAAGTCCTGAGCCAGAGTTTCAAGAGCCAGACCTTCTGAAGGTCTGACAGGCTTTTCACTCAGTTTCAGTCCTTGTGCCGGACTATTTTCATTTAATTATGAAGCACATAACAGACACACGGGCGAAGATTTTAAACACATCGTCTGTTCCTGTTTCGTTAGTGGAGTCTGTCAAAAACAGACGAACAGATTCCCACAGAGCAGCTACCTGGAAACCTGGGATCTCTGTGTGCAGCATGTGCTTAAAAACATGTGAGAAGAAGACGTGTGAGGGCCAAAAACTAAGAACTGACACTGCAGATGATCAGCTGATCATCTGCTGGTCACCGGCGCTGGTTTCAGGCCAAACTTTTACCGTAAAAATTCCAACGGTTCCTGAAAGCATCAACTCAAGTCTCAGGTAATAACACAGCAAACAGTGAAAAACTGAGTAAAAGGAAGTGAAATGTAAAATAAAATGTTTTCTGTGGAGCGCCATCATCTCTCTCCTCTCCTCGTGGAGCTGATGGAGCGATGGCGTCTCTGTGGGGCGCCTCTGCCACTCCTCTGCGTCGCGCCTCACTCCGAGGCTTTATCTCAGATAACACCGTTTGTGATTCTGTTCTGTCTCCAGGCGGCGGTGAACGGGGACACGCCTCCAGCTGAGGGCCTGTCCGAGAATGACAGCGGAGTGGAACTGACCAATGAGAACAGCCCCCTGACCGCGGCCGAGCCGCCTTCACCCTTCAGCCCCAAACAGAACGGAGACGCCGCCTCGCCTCAGGGTAACTCACGCCACTCGTCTTTACGCCGTCACTTATTTCATGTGAGACCTTTATTTTGAAGGTCGGCTGGCTTCCTGTGTGTTTGAAACTTCACATTAAAAGAGAAAATGTGTGAATGATTACAGCTGCCAGTGAGGTCACGCGTTTCATTTCTCAGACTTTCAGACATGTTTCTGCTGTCAGCATGATGATGATGATGATGATGATGATGATGATGATGATGATGCAGTGTGTCTGTGTCGTCACATATTAAACATTTCGTGCATTTTTGATCGCGTCACTGAGACGTTTATGTTTGCTGTAACTGAGGTTTTGTTTTCCTGCTCTTAAATCTGTTGAACTGCCGAAATCGTCACGTTTAAGCTCTTTGACTCTGGCAGCCGTCTGCCCGGCGACGCCGTCCCGCGAAAATATTCAGTTTCTCTCGGACCATCTGTCTGACCTTCTGTCCATCTGTTGTCTTCCACTCCCGCCACAGACGGTAACCAGTGCTCGAGGGGAAGCAGGAAGAGGAGCAGGAAGGGCCG